AGCTGACCCTCCTAAAACAAAGACCTCTAGATAGGCTGACTAGATTCACCAGATGGACAAGTATTGGGGAATGGCTAGGGGTGCTGACAACACAGCAGACAGTAGCAGAGATATCATAGTGTAAGGGCTCTAGCTGGGGGAGGGAGGCTATGGGAGGGTGCCATCTGGGAAGTAGGTATATAGTTGAACAAGATGGTTTGGGATGTTCTGTGTGATACACACACACACACACACACACACACACAATCAAAATTTTAAAAATGTATTATATTTGAGGAAGATGCATGGAAATTTATGTCATCTTAATTAGTAGAGGTGATAAACATTACCATTGAAATCTACCCGATGACTCTATACACGTATGCAGGCACCAAGGATCCAAGCGCAACTGATTATGACTAGTAATAGATACATACAGATTAGATGCAGATTAGAACTAACCTTATTAGATGTTTAACAGCCATAGTTTGAGGCCTATACAAATGTGGTCAGAGGGACTTAAAGGACAGTTTTTGCCTTTGCCCTCCAAGGTCAACTAAGTTCCAGGGGATTATGGAATATCTCTCAAAATGTCCTGTAACTATGGTGAGTCACCTGTCCTCTTGTTCAGGGAGGCCATGGAGATCCCATGAGATGGACTTGAACCAGTGTCCAGTCTACAAAGAGGAGGGTCAACTCAGAGGAAACATCTCATTCATGCTTCCAAGTGAAGCCAGACATGATTGAGCAGGCATGCGTCAACATCTCAGTAGCAAAAAGAATGAGTCTTTCTGGACTCTAAAATGAAATGGAGATCTTTTTTAAAGGTTAAAAACCCATTCAATTTTATGTCTTACATGGTTTATACTGAGTCAAATATTGCATAACTGTATTAATTCAACTGTGAACCTAGAAACTTACAGCCACTTGTGAAAGAGATGGACTCTTGCTCTGGAGTGTGTTACTGAATATGTTAATGCTGTAATGAAATACTTCTTCTAATCATGTAGTTATTAAAAATTAAAAAAAGATTTAAAAAAGTAAAAATAATTAAACAAATAAAGTAAAAAATAAATAATAATAAATAATAATAATAACAATAAGCTTGGTGCCCAAAAAATGACACCTGAAGTTGTCCTTTGGCCTCCACAAGTGCACGCACAATGTTCATACTCACCTATATATATACGTACACCCACATGCCCACACGAACATATACAGACATGTACACACATACACACAAAAAGGAGAATTGTCCAGGCATGGTGGTACATGCCTTTAGTTCCAGCAGTCAGGAGGCAGAGAAAGGCAGATCTCTGTGAGTTTGAGGCTAGCCTGGTCTACATAGTGAGTTCCAGGCCAGCTGGAGCTACAGGGAGACCCTGTCTCAAAAAAGCAAAAACAAAAAAAATAGGCTGACCTGTGAGATAATAGTTCTAAAAACATTAAGTGATTAAAAACATGTGTGCTGGATAATTGAAAGTTACCAGACTGGTGGAACTAACCTTCCTGTAATTGTGGTGAGTCACCTGTCTTCTTGTTCAGGGAGGCCAAGGAGACCCCATGAGATGGACTTGAACCTGTGTCCAGTTTACAAAGAGGAGGGTCAACTTAGAGGAAACATCTCATTCATGGTTCCAAGTGAAGCCAGACATGGCCGAACAGGACCGTTGACTTATCTTCACATAGATGGAACTGGTAGAAGAAAGGAGCCAGGAGCTCCTCCCAAGCCCATGTGACCCCCAGGAACAGATCCTCAAATGACTTTAAGTGTAAAAATAAATTGATTTATTTGGGCCAGCTGTATGGTCTTAAACACCCAAAAGGAAAGTATAACCAAAGAGTAAAGTCATCAGTTTATTTCTTTAAGAGTTCAAGGGATTACACTTCTCAGACATTAGGCTTAAGTCTATATAAAAAAATTATTTAGACAATTATTTCTCATTTATGGTTTTGTTCCTAACAAGAAAGTGCTGCCCACATGTAAGACTTCAAATCTTGGTCTCCAATACTGTCGTGCCCACCTGTAGCTAAGGGAGACAACCAACTATTATTCTAAAATGGATAAATTTGTTTTCTCCCCCTACCTAGAAGCCTTTGAGAGGGAACTGACACTGATTCTAACCACTCCAACAGCTACCAAAATACCTGAAAGCAAATCCTGAATCCAGGATTGAATCCAGCCTTGGAAGACAAAAGGAAAATGAGGAGGAAACCAATAGAGGGATGCTTTTGGAAGCCCTTGTCAAGAAATTCCAATGGACTCTCATATGAACATTTGAAAATCGTC